AGCCAGAGCCCACGTAGGTGTCGTAAGTGCCACCTCTACTGTAGCTGCAGAGAATGAGGTAGGGGTGAGGCTGCTGTTGGTGGGAGAGGCAGGAAGGCCCCCGACTCTCCGCTGCATGCCACAGTCCCTGGCGCCCCAGGGCTCCTTCCAGCCCTTACCTGGTGTCGAAGGCAGTGCCATCCAGCAGCGTGCCGTTGTAGTGGTAGCGGACAAAGTCGCTGTCCTGGACCATGCGGGGGCAGTGGGGCGGGCGCAGCAAGGTGCTCACCTGCACAGTGTCCGCCTTGTTCCACACATCCAGCAGGACCACATCGAAGTAGAGGGTGGCATCCGGGGGAATAAGCCCCGCTGTGTTTGGTGCAGCCCCCAGAGTAGGGGGTGGAGTGGAGGTCTGAGCATCCTGCTTGGCCTCCCGCTCCACCATCCTTAGTTCCCCTTCTCCCAGGTCAAGCCAGGATCCTACCCAGGGCCCTATTATTGCCCTTCCTCCCGCCCCAGCGGTAGGAGACGGAAACGTCTAGTCCCAGACCTGCCGCGCTATTCATTCTGCCGCGCATGCAGTGTGACCTCGGAAAGCCGCTCTCCCTCTCTGAGCTTCAGTTTTCTGGCCCTGGGCCCTTGCTTCTGCCTCCTGGTCTCCTCCACCCCCATGCCTGGGCCCCAGCCCTCCTCACCCACGCCGATGCTGCCATAGCCAAGGTGCGGAGGCACAATGAGGCGTCGCCGCTCATTGACGCACATGCCCATGAGGCCTCGGTCCATGCCGGTGATGAGGCGCCCCACGCCCACCACGATGGCCACCAAGGTGTGGCGGTCATAGCTGGGGAGGGAGGGGACAGATGGGATACAGTGGCCTCTGCCCATGGTCACATACATGCACAGGTGCACACAAGTGAGCACGCGCGCGCACACACACACACACACACACCATCCCCCTCCCTACACAAAGGTGTAGATCCACAGGCTCCTCAACTCTTCAAGCCTCCCTCCTAGGTGGGCCTAGACTCCCACCTTAATAGGATGGGCTGTTACAAAAGGAAGTCCTCCAGGAGGCCAGGGGCTTTTATCTACCCTGGGGTCGGGGGATGGTGCCAGCAGTCCTATCTGCTGCTGCTATCTGCTGACAGAAAAGGAGTGGGAAGTGCAGACCCAGGGCGGGGTGGGGGTGGGGGGGTGTGGGGAGACCAGTTATCCAGCACTTAAATGATAAGGCCGAAGAAATGCTTGGCGTTTTGCATTCATTATCTTTTTAAAAATATTTATTTATTTGGGGCCTCCCTGGTGGCGCAGTGGTTGGGAGTCCGCCTGCCGATGCAGGGGATACGGGTTCGTGCCCCGGTTCGGGAGGATCCCACATGCCGCGGAGCGGCTGGGCCCGTGGGCCATGGGCACTGAGCTTGCGCGTCCGGCAACGGGAAAGGCCATGACAGTGAGAGGCCCACATATCGCAAAAAAAAAATATATATATATATATTTATTTATTTGGCTGCGCCGCATCTTTAGCTGTGGCACTTGGGGATCTTCGTTGCGGCATGCGGGATCTTTTAGTTGCGGCATGTGGGCTCTTAATTGTGGCATGCGGAATCTAGTTCCCTGACCAGGGATCACACCCGGGCCCCCTGCATTGGGAGCGCGGAGCCTTAACCGTTGGACCACCAGGGAAGTCCCTGCATTCATTATCTTATTTAATTCTCTCCCCTGTGAGATGGGCATTATTATCATTATTATTATTATTATTTGCCGCACCATGCAGCTTGTGAGATCTTAGTTCCCCCACCAGGGATCAAAGCCGGGCCAAGCCGGGCCACAGCAGTGAAAGCGCTGAGTCCTAACCACTGGACCACCAAGGAATTCCCGAAATGGGCATTATTGATTTCATTTTTCTTACACGAGAAAAATCGAGACTTGAGAGACCAAATGATTTGCCCAAGGTCACACAGCTAATGTTTGGTCTGTTGAACTCCAAAGCCCACGTTCGGGCCACTGCACCATCAATTCACAGAAGAAAGGAAGGAAAAGCAGAGCTGGCTGGGGATAGGGATTGGTTTTCAATTTTGAAAAAGCCTACTCTAAAATTGCCATGGCTTTCACTTGATTTAGTTAGTTTTAAGTTTTAAGCAGTTAAGCAAAGATGGGAGATTATTATTTTGATGGAAGGTGTCAAGGGTTGTGAAAGTTTTCCAAGCTCAGCACTGCTTGGATCCAACCTGGATCCAAGAGTCCCCATCAGAATCCCCGATAGGGAGGTCATTCTCCAACTCCCAACCCCTCCTCCACTCCTCGGTGGCCACAGGCTCACAGCTGTACTGTCTACTGCCTATGCCTCATTTTGCCCACTGAGCTGGTTGTACGGCCTGCTTCCTCCACAGTGCCGTAGTGAGAGCCCAAGCACGGCAAGAAGCTTCTACCAGTTAAACACTACCAAAGTTCTCCCCAGAGTCAAGGCTAATTAATGTGTACCGAGCCCGCTTGCAGACCATAAGGTACTGTGTGAAGTTCACTTTCATTCATCATCTTGAGCCCTAACATCAGCCTTAGGAAGTAGGGATGCAGTTTTTCAGACTGTTTTTTAATCTCCTTTTCTTTCAGATGAGGAAAGTAAAGCTTAAAGAGGCAAAACTCCTTGTCCATGATCACAGCCTGGGTCTGAGTCCAGGGTCTTGGTCTCAGGAGTTCGTGTTCTTACCCAATAAACTGCCTGCCTCCAAAGCCACTAATTTCTATAGGCCGAGTTGTGTGCGCGACCCGGACCCAAGGTTTAACTGAGGCTGGCCTGGTGTACAGCCCTGCCCCCACCAAGAAAAATGGACCTGCCAGAGCAGACAGAAAGCCTGAACACAGACCAGAAACCCATCTCTCAAACCCCAAGGCTGGCAAGATGGGCGGCAGCACTGACCTGGTCGAGCTAAGATGGAGGGAGATGAGGGTGCTGGATCATGGGGAGAGGGAGGCATGAAAACCCTCGGAGGAGCCCAGGGTGGCATGTGTGACTGTGTGACATGTAGGCAGACAGGGTCCTTACACCAAGCTATGCCCTGCACTCCCTGACCCATCCTGCTGTCTTAGAGTGCCCACCTGCTTTACCCCACTGGCTGCTAAAAACCCCCTGCCCCTCCCCACAAAACTCTACTTACTTCTTCTCTAAACACAAAGGCACTGAAACCCGTGGCTGGAACCAGAAAGGGAGTCAGGGTGGATGGAAAGGTAGAGGGTGCTGGGCTGAGACCACTGGAGGATTCACATGCAGCAGGGACCATGCCCTTCCCCCCAACTCTGTGGACCAGAAAACCCCCTCTATGTCTTTAAATAAAGCACTGGTAAGTAAATAGAGCAGTTCACCTTGGTTCTCAAGCACTCTGAGAGACAGAGGGAGTTTGTGTGAAAGAAACAGGGGTCTTCTGAGAGGCGAAGGTTTGAAATTGAGGGCAGGGATGTCTGGGGAGATGGACGTCTAGGAGTCCCCCCACCCAGGGTGCTGTGTTTGAGGTTAGGGGATCACGGTGTGAGTAGGGAGCATGCAGACACAGCTTAAAAGCAGCAACGAGGGAACCCCAGGACTGAGAGAGCTTGGTCCCGGGCTCCGGGAAGGGAAATGGTGAGTCTGGGGGCACCCAAGCCATTACCTCGAGTCAAACTTCTTGCCGTCCTCGAAAGTACCGTTGTAGTGGTAGCGCACAAAATCCCCCATCTGCACTTCGCGGGGACAGGCCCTGGGGATGTGGTACCTCTCGATAACCACATCTTCCAGGGGGCTCCCGGCCGGGCTGGCGCGGCCCAGCCCCCTCCCCACGGCCTGCAGCAGTAGCAGCAGCAGCGACTGCAGCAGGGGGAGCCGGAGGACGGTGTGGCTGGGGCGCCCCGCGCGGAACATGGTGCCTGGAGCTGGGACGGCCGGCAGTGAGGGCGAGCGAGAGAGCCGCCGCCGCCGCCAGACCCCTTGGCCCCCCTCCTCCCAGAGCTGGCTCCCCCTCTTCCTGTCCTCCATCCTCACCCCCGCCCTGGCTGGTCCACGTGGAATGGGGGCTGGGGAGGCTGAGCTGGCGGGGTGGGAGTGGGGGGAAGGAGTGTGGAATTGGAGGAGGAGGGCCAGGCTGATAGCTTTAGAGTAGGAGGAAAGCACCACAAAGGCCTCCAGATTTTCCCCCACCCGCACCCTGCCGCTGAGAGACCTGGGAGGGGTAGGGAAGTTCCGGAAAGTTGGGAAAGTCGGAGCCGACTTAAAAAAAAAAAAGTTCAGTCTTTTTTCTGGAGCCCCCCGGGTCCTAAAGCCGGACTGAAGCATCCCTTGTTTCTTTGGCTGGCAACCCCAAATCTAGGTCTCTCCAGGTGGCTGGTGAGGCTCCAGAATCGGAGGGGTATCTCAGTGCTCCCTCCCACCCCTTCTGCCCCAGGGACGGCCTCTCCAGGGACGGGCTGCTTTGTTCTGCAAAAGCTGGACTGCTAGAGGACTTTCTGACGTGGGGATGGAGATCGAGTGGGAGGTGGTGAGAGTGGAGGATGTGCAGGGTAAAACCGGGGGTGTGCCTCCCCGTCGCGGGCTGGGGGGAACACTTGGAGGAACCTCTTCGGGGCTGGAAGTGGGGAGTGAGCAGAAGGACCGCTCTGATGGAAGGAAGAGCAGGTTCCAGGGCTTGGGTAAAGAAAGTAGAGTGAGGTGGCACTTCCCTCAATTTCTCTATATTAACGTCTCGGGGGGTGGGGGGGGGAAGGGACTGTCTTTGTGTGGGAGGGGCTTTCTGGGCTTCGCATCCCTGCGGGAATTGTTCCTCCACCCTCTCACCATCTGCCAAGGGGAGGACCCCCAAGGGCAGGAGATCGGGGACTCAGGATAGTGTTGGCTTTCTGAAAAGAGTGGAGACACAGCCCTCGGCCCCTCGGGGGATCTGACTTAAGCCACGACCCCGCCTCGCTGCCCCCGGAACCAGGCGCTAAGACCCAGCGGGCGCGCCGGCCAG